AGTCAAGAAACAAACTACTGCTGCACGATCCTCAACCGAATCCGAGTATCGTGCTCTTGCATCTCTCACAACAGATGTCATATGGCTTCGTCGACTTCTACAAGACTTCGGCTTTCCTCAAGCAACGCCCACCAAAATATTTTGTGACAACACCTCTGCAATCGCACTTGCCAACAATTGTCTTTCACGCCCGCACTAAACACATAGAGATTGATCGTCTCATTAGAGATCATATCCACAAGCACAACAAATGCATTCTTCCGATTAGTACGGTGGACCAAGTGGCAGACATTCTCACTAAGTCTCTCTCGACACAGCGGTTTCAGCTAATGCACAACAAACTGACGGTCGTCCAAGACCCATCAGTTTGTCGGGGAGTATTAGAGAGATCTGATTTAATATGATTAAAACTGTAATCTGTCACTCACTTAATGATGTGTAATTACCGTATTGGCTAGGATTGCTTTATCCGTACATGCCTGGCTCTATTTAAAGCATGGCTGTACCGCTTGTAGACATATTGGTTAATACATTGTCTTTACCTTTCCTGTTATTGCTTTATGTCTTCAAACCATTGGTTTCTACAGATAGTAGCCTTACAAAGAAGTGGGGTCAAATATGAGATGCAAAGCTTTTTGATGGTGAGACAGGAATCCTCAAATAGGCAATAACATTGGTGTTATTAAAAATACCTAAAGTTTATGCAAGTTTTTGTTGATATTGAGTTGATTTTGAGAAAATAATGGAACTTTGAGAGGAGTTTATACCTAAGCCATGGAGGCTTTGAAAACGAGATAAGATATCGTTCAAAGCATTAAAATTGTTCACATTGGTTTTACCAAAAATTGATAAGTCATATGAGTACAAAAGATGTGTGAAGTGATTGACCCGACCTTGATGTCAGAATAGACATTGCAATCAACCACATTATCAATTAGGTTGGTTATGTAATAACCCGTATTTTAACTTCGTTAATTTTTTTCCTGGAGTCATTATAACTCAAAAACGTAAATTGTCTTCTCCATGATATTTTGATTGATGTATTTTACTTACACAAATTTTTTTATAATTTTTGGACACCGATAAATCCTTAATGAATCTGTACATGTTGGTAAAAGTGAGAATTTAAGTACCTTCAGGTGTTCGTTTTGCAAACCAACTTCATCGATATTTTTTAAATATTATGTTTTATTTTATGGATTTTTTTTTTTGTAATTTTTGTAGTACTATAGTGATTTATTTGTATTTTATACTAAAGAAATGATTTAATTAATTGTTATATAAATATTATATTATTATACTATTATAGAAATCCTAAACCACTAAGATATTTTATTAAAAAAGCTTGTCCCTCATAACTTCGGCAACGAGAGAACCATTAGAGAGAAATTTGGGAGAAATTAGAGGAGAGAGAAAAATATATTTGAGATTTGGAGGTCACAGAGTGATTTTTGTTCGTCGACGTAGTTGAGAGATTTGCTTGTCTCGCTGTAAGGAATCCATATCTTATTTCTAATTTAAAAGATTTTGTGTTTTTGGTATTTTCCCGCTGAAATTTGTATTTTTGTTACCAAAAAATGTGAATAACTTTGTATTGACAAAACTTTCACCACGTAATTTTTTGTATGTTATAAAGATCGTGATTATGAGCATTTTGAGTATTTTTTATGATTTTTCATCGGATGATTTTGAAAATGCAATGATTTTTTTACTCCGAAATTTATTATGACCTTTAAAAATAATAGTGTAATAGAATAAAAGTCTTAAAATATCATATACAGTTTGTTGTAATTTGGTAATTTTTTAAAAATGTGTATTTTTGCCTAATAAGATTTTTTGTTGTATGCCGTTATGATATTTTTGCATCTTCTTAATTAAGCTTAATTATACATTATTTATTGCAGTACATTGAAATTGGTTGTGGATGTGTGCTTGAGTAATAGTTGCTCACTATTATTATTATAGTATTGTGATAATAATATGCGTGTGTGAAACAAACAAGTAAAGACTGGTTGACCCGTTGGTTGGAGACTGATTAACCTATAAAAAATGGTGGGCCGACAGACTTTCCTTTAAATATTGTGATTTGGTGTTATCCTCTACTAATTCACGTGATACACCGATTGAGAGTTATAAGGAGATTACTACTATGCCGACGAGCAAAAAGTGATGACTCTATTTACCGAGTCAATGGTTTACTCACACTGAAAAACATTGTGATAGCCATGACTTCTACTTGTCTAGTGTGATTATTGTAATACATATTTTTTAGGCATTTTTATTATTACTGTGTAGATTTATTATTACTAAATGAATTTAATATTATTACATAATTCTACTGCTCCTACCACCAGATTGCAACGGTTACTGATATAAATACCTATTTGATACTACTAATTCACTATACTAATATTATGCATGCGATATACTGAGCACGTGATAAAGAATAACTGGATATCATGTGTACATTTTGATATGATTTTACTATATTGATTTGATTTCAATAGTTATTAATGATGTTTTGATTTGATGCTTTATACAATTTTATACTAACTGATATTATGGATATGATGATTTCTTTAGAGATATGACACTCGTATTGATTTACTGCTTTACGGGTTTTTATACTGTTTATAGATTATATTACTATTACATGTGAAATTTTTTATTTATTAACTGATTCAATGATCACATGAATGTAACTGTTATGATTTGACTGTTGACATGCATATTGCTCATTTACTGTGTTTTTGAATTTAGCCGTAGGTTTTGGTGATCTGTTGGTTTTTTAAGCTCATTATATGTGATTAAATGATTTCAAATCAAAGTAGGGGAGCAGAAGTGTGAGGTTGGTCATATTCTTCAGGTTTTGTTTCTTTTTATTATAGTCCTGAGTGTGTATATGATTTTGGGGAATGAATATAGACGTGTACATTGATATTTTAAATTGTGGAATCTGTTGTATTATTTATGACTGATAGATGACATTAGATAGCTATGGTTGTTGATTATTTAAAGGATAAATGAATAATTCTTCCAATTTAAATTTTGGGACATCACAGGTTAAATCATTCATGATGGTGCCATAGAGATAAAGGAGAAAGAGAGTATCCTTGTTTTAAACCAACAACAACAACAACAACAAGCCTTTGCCCCACGTAGGGTCAGCTACATGAATCATTTTTCTTCATTGTGTCATGATAAAAATCAAATTTTTGTTTAAATCTAATAAAGAAAGATCATTTCTAATATTTTCTAACCAATTTTTTTTAGGTCTACCTCTACCTTTCTTAACATAAGTCAAATAAAATACGTATACTTTCTAAGTGAGTCATCGGAAGATCGCCGTTTTATGTGACCAAACCATCTTAGGCAATTCTCTCTAATCTTATCTTCCACTGGCGCTACTCTAACCTTTTCACATATATGCTCATTTCGTATCCTAACTCTAAGAGTAAAGCCACTCATCCACCTAAGCATCCTCATCTCTGCAACACTTAACTTAGTATTATGTTTCTCTTTTAATGGTCAACATTTGACAACATAAAGCATTGCAGGTCTCACCACCATCTTATAGAATTCCCCCTTAACTTTGAGTGGTTTTTTCTATCACACAACAAACCCGATGCATTCATTCACTTCAACCATCCAACTTGAATCATGCTGATAATATCCATATCAATTTCACCATCACTATGAACAATAGATCCAAGATATATAAAAAACGTGTATCTTGGACAAAAAAAAAATCCTTCCAAATTAATATTTATGCAAATAAAATATTTTACTTTGTCAATGTAAACTTTGATCCAACATATGAACAGTTAACCTGTCCTTCAATAATGTCCTAATTGCTGCCCCACTGCCCCAAATAAAACACAGGATAACGGGAAGAAACTAAGGGGCTGTTTGGTATGCGGATTTAGGCGGATTTAAGGCCGGATTTGGGCGAAATCCAGCCAAACGGCCTAAAATGCAAATCCAAATCTCACGGCAAACGAAATCCTCCGTGGACGGAAAATTCCGCCGATTCGCTCTAAATCCCGGATTTCCGAAATCCTTTGGTTCGGCGGATTTAGGGGATTTGGCCGAAGAAGCGCGCGAAAGGGAGAAAGTTACCTTCACAGCAAGCGAGCTCCCGTTGTTGAATCCGATCAAAATGTCGTAACTTCCGATCCGATAGGAAGGGAAAGTCGACGAAGGAGCGAAGTCGAACAACCACGAAGGACGAAGGAGCCGAAGAAGCGACTCGTGAAATCTTTACACCTCCTGCGAAGCAACGAAGCCGAAGAGGAGAGGAAAGGTAAACCCGATACGCCTCTGAAGTTATTACTGCTTAACTTAATTAATATAAGTTATAATAATAATAATTGAGTAAATTAATAGTATAATTAGTTCATAAAATATTTATCTAATTTAAATTAATTAAAAAATTAATGATATATTAATAATTAAATATAATATCATTAGCTTTATTAATATAACTTAAAAAATATATAATATGGTAATTAATAGTGTAATAAAAATTAATAAGTAATTTGAACTTAATAATCTTGATAATCATACCATTTAAATCTTTAACTGTTTTAAATCTTGTAATCTGTTGTAAAACATCTTCTCTTGATTTAACATGATTTAAAATACTTAGTTATTTCAAAATAATTAATAGGATTAAAATATGATCTTAAATAAAAAAAATTCTTATAAAATATTATAAATAATAATAAATAATTAATTAGTATTAATAAAATTTTGTTATATTTTATTTAAACTTTTTTTGTCGTGCTTTAATTATCTTAATAAAGTATGTCAATTTTTTAACCGCCTTAAACCCTAAAATGAATAGCCAAACAGTCACAAAGGATTTAACTGGATTTATCATGAATGTTACCAAACAGTTTTCAGGATTTAACCCCTCAGGATTTCGTAAATCCGGAATTTGAAGGATTTACGAAATCCACTTAAATGAAATCCTAAATTCTACCAAACAGCCCCTAAAAGAAAACGAATGGCCCAAGCCAGTCCCTCCCTGTTCGCTACCTACAGCCACTTCTCCGCCATTATCCGCCGGAATATTAGATCCGCCGGCATCCATTCCCCGCACATTCCGGCCCGTCCCACCTCTGTCCTTCCGCTCTCAGTTTCTCCAGTGGCGTGCGTCGGTGTTCCCAACCTCCTTGAAGCTGCGAAGCGTACCGTAATGGCTTCCCAATAACTCTAATAGTCTCATTCATTATTCACTCTTTTAATGCTTTCTGGTTTTAGTTATTTTGGTTCCTTTTCAATGGTTTCCTTTAAAATGGCTTGTAATCAGATAACATTTCAGTCTTTGGCCGATTTCAGGAGTTCTGACCGAAATTCAACAGTTTCAGTAAAATTTCTGGTGCCAATCAGAAATCTCACCTGAAGCTTGTAAATTTTTAATGATTCTCTTGCTAGAATTCTCATGCAGTCCTCAAAATTCCATTCAAACATTATTGAGACAATACCGAAATTCAGATGTTGTAACTCTAGTCTCAAAAAGATAATCTTCCTCGTTTAATATTTACATGTATATTTTTAGCCATATCGAACGATAAAAGCCATCGAAAACAAAATCAAAATTGAATCTGAAATCAATGAAACTAAAAAAAAGTCACCGAAATTGAAATTCTAATGATGGGTCCGAAACAAAAACAGAAACTGAAAGGGAAATTTCAAACTTGTTTCAGACTTTCCTGCTTCTATTCTTTCTCAAGGCATCTTGGATTCTTATCAGGTTAATATAAGTGGAATTGATTGATAGGTAGATGATTATATTAGAAGTGGAATGGTTGTTGGATTAGGCTCCGGTCGCGCTTCCCGCCTCGCGATAGAGTATTTGGGCCAGCGGCTTCGAGAGGGAGTTCTAAAGGATGTCGTTGGAGTGCCCACGTGAGTTAATTCTCTTGTTCAAGAAAATTTTCTATCTTTTTTGTTTTTTATGGTGAAAGTGGAACTGATATTGATATTTGCTGTAAAAATGCAAGAGTTAAGATACGAAGTTATTGAAATCCAGCTCTGAGTTACAGAGAAATCTCATTTGGTTGCTCGATTTTTTCTACCACATGAAAAAAAAAAGAAGATAAAATTGTTAGATCCATCATTTGGTTGGATGTTGTTGGACATTAATTGTAATTTAAACTTCACAAATCCTCTCAAGACTCTCCCCAATATAATTATTTCTTTTCAAGCACACAATAAGTGTAAACAAAATCATCATTCTTTATGACAGGCTTTCTATCTAGAAATAGTCAAATGAGCCCTTAGTTCCAATTAATTGTCGTTAATGCATCACTGTTGCATGTTATGTAGTAATAAGCTCTATTTGGACTTTAACGCATGCTAAGATGGAAAAGGAGTGAAAACTGACTAGAGAATTGCTGGAGTAAAAAGAAAAAAATTGAGAAGAATGAGTTAGCTCTGATGTTTCTGTTGCATCCAAAATCTTGAGATTTGGCTAAGACAACTGTAGTTTGGAATGCTAGAAAATTTTATGGGTCAAGCCACCATGAATAACTAATTGGCTATGATATACTGATACTTCATAATAATGAATTATGCATGTTGTGTCTGACATGTGCAAGACACAGATTTGTCAAAGAGGTGTCCGATAATATCGAATATGCCATTTATATGTCCAGTTAATAAAAAAATAAAAAAATTAACGGACACATGTGTCATGACTAATAAATTTTAACTTTAAAAGTATACTAAATAAATAACTTAAGTTGGGCCATCTATTCTCATTTATTTTAAAATATATTCTTAAATAGCTTAATAACTATTTAACATTATTTCTATTTTTCTTATTCAATTCTATTTTCCTATTATTTTTTATGATGTATTTTTATTTTGAAATTTTCTTATAAAAGAATTAATTTTCTCAACTTCATGTTAATAATATATAATATCATTTGACCATTACTTCTTCAAAGTTTATGATATTAAATAAATTAAGTAGATTTCTTATTGTATGAGCAATTGAAAAAAATATTATCACATGAATTCATTTCATATTTAGTTAATTTATGTGATCTCTATTTTTTTTTAATTTAAAGGTATAATTCTATAGTGTCGTGTCCAATATATATTTGCGTCTTATATTTTTAATAATAAGTTTATCTTGTGTTTATGTCGTATCGTGTCACTATACTAGTATTTATATTAGGGCATCCTAGCTCATTATAAACTAAATTCCAATTAGTGAAAGGAGAAAAATATAGGTACTCCTTAAAATGGACGGTAAGAGAATTTGATTTAGAATTAGCTTTAATTCTTATATTACATTAGATTTCACTATAGAGATTGAACTACAAAGCCTGGTGATAGAAAGGTTAGGAGTGAATTTATACATTAGCGTGTTTCAAACTTTAAGGAGAAGTTATAGATGTCAAGGATGAGAGAAAAGAACCAGCGAATCATGAGTAAATGAGAGTAATGAATTTTCTCTAGAACTTTAGAAAATTACTACCAATAAGACAAAGCTACATGCCTTTAATTCGCTGATGAGAAATTCTAAATTCCCTAAATCACCCCTACCCCAAGTGAAAGAAAAAAAAAGTGGGAAGTACAAGATCAAATAATTTTCTAAACCCTTTTAGAGATTTAGGCAGATCAATGATATGCTAGTTATATTATGATCAACATTAAACTTGGGTGATGATGTTATGGTCTTTGGCATTTAGCATAATTTGTTATGTGATAAATTTAAACACAACATTTGCATAATTCTTACTATCATAAATGAGCTTACAAAGCTTCTTTTGAGTTTGTAATAGTTTTGCAAAATGGAAATTCACTTCTAGTCGAACTCAAACTTCGAAGTGGCTATGATGCAACACAATAAATTCAAGAATTATTAATTAAAGTATCTTTAGAATCACTAATCTCTTTATCAACTAATGAACATCATCAAATATTTGATTTCATTTTCATTTTCCTCCATATTGATATGCTAGTTCAAATTAGGATTCTCATTAGCAAAATGCTAGTATGATGGTACTTAAAAACATACTTTTAGAAAAACATTAGACCTAGATGTAGGTGCAATTGATTTTCTTTTCATATATTTATTGACTTCGGTGTTAATGCCATTAGATGTAGTTGGTGCAATATATTAAATTTAATTACTTTGGTGACATGATGCACTCCTTGAATATGGAATAACCATATTGGATACAAAAAAGGTTAACATTTGCTCTAACTCAATATATGTCCAATGCATGTTTCAAGTGATAGAATGCAATGGGTGCCATCTCTCTCTTGATATTAGGCTTCAAACTAAGCCTAGAGTGTGGTTTGAGATCTTCAATGATATCAAATTGCAACATTTCTTCAAATTTATTTATGTATTGAATAATAGTTTTCATCCCTTGCTTTAATGAATTAAATTCATCAAACAAGTGATACAAAAATGACAAAGGAAAATATTATTCTTTCATTTTATCATAGGTTGTTGTAGTTTCCTTTCTCAGTCTTTCCCTTCACCTTTCCATACTCATCTAATAAAATTATACTTGAATTGTTAACTTTTCTCTTCCACGTGATAAATTTATTATGAATATTAAATAATATCTACTTACAATATATACAACAATAATTAAGAGTGTAAATGAGTCGAGTCGATTTGAGTTCTTGCTTAATCGAGCCATGCTCATTTGTTTTATACTTAGCTCAAACTCAAGCTCGAGTTCCAGTTTGGCTTAAATAAAAAATATGAGGCTCGAGCTAGATTCGAATCCTCAAACTCAAGCTTAGCTCTTGGCTCATTTTTTAGCTCAAATTCCTATATTGAATTTTGACAATAGATAAATAATCATACTAACATAAATGTTAATTTGCCAATTGATAATAATAGAACTGACCCAACAAACTGACGAGGTGATCTGATCTGAGCTTGAGCTCATATAATATATGAGCTCAAATTTAAGCTTGAACTCGAACCCATGGCTCGATAAACTCGAACTATAAACTCGCTAGCGAGTAAAGTTCAAGTCAACTCAGCTCACTCACACCCATAACAACAATTGAGTTTTAAATGAAGGGTTGACAACCTATAAATATTTAAAAATCTAATTCAAGCATCAAAGTTAACACCCTTAAAAAAGAATGGGATGTTTATCCTTTAATAAATAACATTTACTTATCTCAAAGTGAATGTTATGAAACTCCAAATAGGGATCCAATTACATCAAACCAGATGCAACAAGAACATCAAGCCTTTATTCCACTTTGTGAGGTCGGCTGCATAAATCATTTTACTCCATTGTATCCTACTAAGAGTCAAATTATCATTTAAATTTAATAAAAATGTCATTTTTAATATTTTTTAGCTAAGACTTTTTAGGTTTATCTCCACTTTTCTTAACATAGGCCAAATCAAATACATCTACTCTCCTAAGAGGGTTATCAGAAGGCCGACGTTTTATCCATCCAAACCATCTTAGGCTGCTCGATCTCTCTAATCTCATCTACCACTGGAGCTACTCGAACCTTTTCATGTACAAACTCATTTTTATATTTTGTCTCTAAGAGTGAAGCCACTCATCCACCATAACATCCTCATCTCTGAAACACTTAACTTATGCTTTCTTTTAATGACCAACATTTTGCATCAAAAAGAATTGCAGGTCTCACCACCATTTTATAGAATTTTCTCTTAAGTTTGAGTGATATTTTTCTATCAAACAACAGACCCAATGCATCCCTCTAATTCAACCATTTAATTTGAATTATACTAATAATATGCCTATCTATTTCACCATTACTTTGAACGATAAATCTAAGATATCTGAAATATGTACTCTTATTAATGACTTGATCATCGAAAGTCACAATCTTTCACTAGATCTATTACTACTAAAATTGCACTATATGTATTCAATTTTAGATCTACTCAAACAAAAACCTTTAGACTCTAATGTTGGGCTCCGTAAAATAAGTTTTCCATTAACTTCCTTTCAAGTCTTATCAATAAGAAAAATATCATCAACAAAAAGCATACACCAGGGTGCATCCTCTTATAAATGTCTAGTAAAAGCACCCATTACTAAAGCAAAAAAGACATGGGCTTAAAATTGACCCTTGATCTAATCCAACTGAAATAGGAAAATACTTGGTCAATCATCTTGCATTTGAACACAAGTAATAACTCCTGCATACATATTCTTAATAAGTTGAATATAAGCATTATTAACTCTTTTGTTTTCTAGAACTCTCGAGCGCACTTTCCTTAAAACTTTTTCATATGTTTTCTCTAAATCAATAAATATCATATGTAAATAGTCTTTATTCTCTCTATACTTCTCCATCAACCTCTTAATAAATGTATAGCTTTCATAGTAGACATACCCGGCATGAATCCAAATTGATTTGGAGAAACATTAGTTACGCATCATAACCTATGCTCAATAATTCTCTCCCAATTTTAATGTATGACACATTAACTTAATTCCTCTATAATTCTCAAACTCTTGTGCATCACCTTTATTATTAAAAATATAAATGAACACACCTCCACTCATATGATATCTTTTTAGTCTTCAAAACAATATTATTATTTTTTAAGTAAAGAAATTCCTTAATCTCGTAAGTAGTTCCAAACTTTTATTAGAATATCATTAGGTCCAACAATTTTTATATACTTTATTTTCCTTAAAGCCTCTCCAACTTCAATTTTATGGATACGACGTTAAAAATAAAAATCTCAATTTTCATTTAGGGTGTTAAGATCACTAAAATCAATCATATTCTCGCAATTTTTATTGAAAAGTTTATCGAAGTATCTCAACCACCTTTGTTGAATATCTTCCTCTAATAAAAAGACTTTTTGATCTTTTAATCCTTAATGCACTTCACTTGAATTAAATCATTACTTCTCTTATCTCTTTGTTTGGCTAACTTGTACATACATCATTCACCCTCCTTAGTATCTAATATATTATATAAATCATTAAAAATTAAATACTTTACATTACATATTGCTTTCTTAGATTCATTATGGGTCTCTTTATATCTTTCCTAATTTATCAACTTTTACATCTAAATTAATTTTTATAACAAAACTTCTTATTGTTTATCTTATCTTTCATAGTTTGATTCCACTATCAACTATTTTTACTACAAGAGATTTTTACTTTTGACACTCCAAGTCTCCAATCACATCTTTTACTATATTCTTAATATCACTAGTTACTTTTTCTACATAACATTAGCTTTCTCATATATAATCAAAATTTTAAGATATTGAATATGACTCTCAAAAATATTTTTATTAGTGATATTTAAATACCCCCATCTTATCCTATGTCAACATTTTATTTTATTTTTCATATTTCGCCCATGCATCTTAAAATCAAAACTAATAAGTGATGCTATGTGCATAAACTTTCACTTAAAATAATTTTATAATTTTTATCTAAACAATCTATTTTTTTTATAAGATAATAATAAATCTTAGTTTTATTATATGGATTCTTATAACTGATGATATGTTCATATCTTTTCTTAGATAAGATTACAAAATTTTAAGCTAGAGCAAAATTTAATATGATCATACTAATTTTATTAGTTGCTCCAAACTCATATATACCATGAATGCTTTTAAAATCTTCTACCACTGTACCAACATATCCATTTAAATCTCCTATAATAAAATTTGTTTCTTTAAGAAATATCTTTTGTATTAATTCTTATAAGTTATTTCAAAACTTTAATTTTGAGCACATATCCAAACGTACATGAGGAGCATAAACACTTATAATGTTAATAATATTGATATTAACGATAATCTTTAGCGGTAACTCTATCACTAATTCTATTAATTTCTACAATATTATCCTTCAAACTTTTATATATAATCACACCAACATCATTTCTAGTACGTCTCCTACCCGAATACTATAATTTAAATCATAAACTATCAATCTCTTTAGCATTCTCTACAACCTATTTCATTTCCTGAATTCAAATAATATTTATCTTCCTATGAATCATAATATTTATTAATTTTATTAATTCGCCTATTTGAGAACCTATATTCCAAGATTCTTTTCAAATCCTAGTTTCACGAACTAGCTTTTTTGCTCACATATGTCATGATATAGTGACTCTTGCTTATTTAACAATAAACTCGGGTGTTGGTGTAGCTGTCTATGTACACTTCTCGTTGTATTCGGGCCATATAATGCGTCTCTTCTAAGGAATGTCTTAATATTTACAAATTGTATTAAATAATTCATATAATTATTGTTCAATAAGTTTTATGCTGGCTGTTGATTACATAACGCAATCCTCCACTTTTTTCATTTAGAACTTGGGACCTGACAACGACAATGTTATGTCACACTAGATGAAAAAAATTAATAATAAAACCCCACATAATACAAATTTCAATCAATTATCATATGCAAATTACATTATTGGGAACTAAATAATGTAACAAATCTTGTGGATCAAGATAATCAAGTTATAAGCTTTATTACAAGAGCTAAGACTAAAAGCTAAGAAAAAAATTAAAGAAAATACCCAATTATAATAGCCTAATCAAGTTTCCATAATTTAAATATTTTGAATGTAATTGATATTCTATTATTTTTATATTTTCAACCTATGGATTTGTATGGCAAGCATGACATAATTTGGTATGGATGGAGCATTAAAAATAAGTTTTTTTTAAACTCCTCTTTAACAATCACCAATCTTATCTTTATCCTCTTTTTCACCTTAATTTTTCTCTCAAAAAGTGATTTCCCATGAGTCTTGTAATGCCTATAAATATGGACTAATATGTATTATAATTTTTAGTTTTGTAAATAAATATTTTGGCTAAGAAGTGTTCTCCATTTGCTTGGTGTTTGGTGGTTTTAAATGTGTACATTTTTTTGTGAGAATATTTAATTATCTTAATTATTTATTATTCATGCCTAGCACCTGCTCTAATCTCTTCATACATTTTCCTCCATTTCATAAGAATCCCAAGACCAATAAAATAATAACTAAAATCTTAAAACTTTTCCACATACTTCAATATAGCTCTTGGACAAACTAGAGAACAGTAGGACCTAGTCTTGTTTCATATAACTTAGCCTTACTCCATCAAACTCTACCATCATCTATAGATTATAAATTCACATCCTAAGATAACTCTCCATATTTCCAACCATCTATTTTATATAAAATTCACTCCATAAAGAGATCTTTGAAATTAGCTCAAATTAACCTAAATTAGACCTGTCTTAGTATTCTTGCTAGTACACTCCTTTAAACCTCTCACTATTCAACTATAAACTTCAAAACACTTCTTTAAATATCAAATTAAAGATTCATAATCTTTTTTAGCCACATCCCACCAAAAGGCCATCCACCACCATTGCTAATTAAGTAACAATAATATAATTTAACCTAAACAATCCTAGTTTACCCAACCATTCGTCCAAAATTAGTCCCTGCAAAGATAAACCTAACCTATTGAACTAAGTCTTAATTCTCCTATTCTATTATTTTCTAAAAATACAAAAGAAATTACTTGCAACAAAATAAAATATTCAGTACCAAAATGTTGACATGGACGGCAAAAGCAAGAAGGATTAACCTACAATAAATTAAAAATAGCAAATCTCTTCTTAATGTCATAAGTGTAGACTATAAGGAGAGGATGGTTCCATAATAATAATGAGAAGGAGAAGGCAAGGGAGAAAAAGGAAGACAAGGGAGAAAAAAAAAAAAAGTAGAAGGGAGGTTTTACTTGTCTTATGATTGAAGGAAGGAGAGGAGGCAGGATGAGTTTGATGTTGATGGCTCTTAGTCGAAGAGGAAGTTAGCAAGAGAGGGTTGACTGCTTTACCAAAATGGTTCGATAGTTACAAAGGAAGGGTAGAGCAATGCCGTAGTCCCAAACTCTTTAAATCGAGTGAGCTAGGGGCAAAAGAGAGAGTACGGGTTGTCGCGTGCGAAGATTGCAGGCTGATGGATGTTGTGTGATTTGTGAGTGGGAGGACTTAGGCCTTCATGTGAAATTGAGGGAATATGGGTGAAATGGGATCGACGGGGACGTGAAGAACTGCTTCGGTTTGAGTTTGCTGATTGCCGATTCAGTTATAATAGGTGATCAGGTCATAATGCATTTAAATTGGAACTAATGCTTACAAGTTAGAAACCCTTCAAATTTTGGTATAAATTGAACTTTCAAAGTGTTTAGTTTGGCCTTATTAATTGTGAATACTACTTAGTTCTTATATTCTACTCTCTCTTCACCTCTTTCTTCTGAACCCACATCTAATTCTCTGTTATATATTTCTATACAGTTTATTGTTGAAGTTATTTTTGATGATAAGATTGTGTTAAACTGTTGATGGTGGATTTTGGAGATGTCTTTTTAATTAGTGAGACATACTTGATTGCAATGATTCATGGATTACTCCATAAGAGGCCTAGAGTTTACATCTAAATTTGCTTGATGATATTAAATGTCTAAATTGTCAGAGTTGAATTTCTGGATAGATTTGATGGAAATCTTCACTTTTATTCTCGAGAATTATCACATCTAGCATTAATATTATGTTTATTTTATGTATCTTCTTATCATTTTTGTGTCATTTTTTATTATTTCTATTTTGATGACATGCAAATAATGACAACTAAAAAATGTTGTATTTTATTTCCTAGCTTTAGGTTAGTTTTTTTTTTTGGTTGACATAATTTCAATCTTGACATCGGTTGTATTTTATTTTGATGACATGCAAATAATTAACTTGTATTAGAAAGAGTTAATAAATAGCGGTCTAAGGCATTTAATTTACAACTTTTGGCTTGACGATTTTTTTTCTTCAAATTTTCAATTTTGTGAGTGCAAGTTGGATATATAATTCCTTCTAGCGCATACAAATGCGACTTAGCAGATTTCATTGGAAGTCATCTCGTAAATCTAAATGTGGCCCAATTTTCTTTATTTTGTTAGTTTGCGTATTATAATTTTTTTCTACATAATTTGTGTAGAGGTCTTGATTCTGATAAAAAATGATATTTCAGAAATATGATTTTGTGAAAAAAAATTTTTTTTGGTTGATTTTATTTATTTCTAAATTCTTATGAAATTGTTGAATATTTATGGCCAGGTCATTATCAATTGGGCTTCAACTCTATCTTTGCTTATTTTCATTTAAAGGAAGTGAGTTGTGGGATTAATTGATAACTTGTAATCTATGAATACTCAATTTTTCTTTGCATGAAAGCTTACTACATATCATTATAATTGCATAAGAAAATTATAACCTTGAGTGTCTTGCATCAAGTGATAGGAAGATTCATTTTGATTAATGTTTAGGGGGGAGATTGTAATATTGAAGTTAGATTGTCTGCTTATTGTTGGCAAGCATGGGTGGCTGTAGAATAATTTAAAATTTTAACATATTGCATAATGCTTCCTTGAGGGATTATCAAAAGCTTAAAAGCTAAGGAAAAGAGTAAGTTAAACTTATTTCACATCAATATGTTGTTTGCTTTATACTGATTTCTTTCATGTTTTCGTTATATATTTACTTAAACGTTGTGCATAATGTGTCTCGTAAAATGCTACAGGTCAAATTTCAGTTCAAGTGAGGCAACAAAAGCTGGCATCTATCTAAACTATTATCAGGATAGCCTTCAAGTGTGCACAAATCCTTATTGTACAATAAGTTGGTTGCATTTTTGTGTTGGTTTTTGTGAGTATTAAACGATTAGGTGTTTCTAACAACTAAGACTTTGTTTTTATTATTTTTTTATAATTTTTTTTATTTTTTTAACAATTATTAAAACTTATTATTGATGTCTGTATGATATTTACACTTGTGCAGATTGATTTTGCTTTTGATGATGCTGATGCTATTGAAAAAGGCACGCTGACAGCCATCATAGGCCGAAGACAACTTGAGATTGATGAGTCCATAATTGAAGAGAAGGTAGCAACTTTTCAAATTCTTACAATGGTTGAGAGATTCTTTTCTTGACATTGCATTTTGATGGCTTGGGTGGTTCTATTTTTGGCCTTAGGAAAAAATTTAAATGGGCCAATTTCATTTTGGCCTTTGGTAGGTTTGATTTTTACTTTAATTTTAGGTGATTCAGTTTACAAAAACCTCATGATGATGATAGAATGAGTTTGGTAAGTTCAACTAAAAATATTTAATTAGTTGGCTTGCATGCATCATATGTGACCAAATCTTCATTTTGATTTAAATTTTTATTAGGTAAAGAGTGTGCACCTAACTTTAATTATAGAAGAAAAAAAGGTCAAACAAATAAAAATGACACCAAGATTTATTTAGTTTGATTAGATCCATCCATGCTTATAGCCACACAGATTAATTTTTTTTACTAAGCTTTAAGAATGTACATGGAGTATTTCTTTGTTTATTGGGAGATGAGTAAAGGCTACTACTTTAATAAAAATGGAGGAAGAAAAACAAATCTTCTTGTTGTTCTTGCAAATCAAGTTTGAAGCATGAATGATACAAATGAGAAGAAAATCAGGAATTATCTCTATGGTGAAGCTTGAGTGCAACTTCTGAAATCACCGAAGAGTGGAACTTGAAAATAAGAGGATATATAAGTATGAAAACTCTCCTAATCGCACATGTAAGAAATAATAGCTTAAATATCTCAAAATATATACAAGATCTCTCATATACTTACCTCCCAAAAAAGTCAATTTCTATAATCTTAATCCTCAAATGTAGCTCAAACCTCTCTGAACCAAATTGATTGGTTTCCTCGGTTTGTTTTGATATCTCTGGCCTTAATGCATTTCTGCAGTCCGTAATGAAATCAGCGAGTAAACTTGCCTTCATCGTTGCTGAAAAGCAATATGCAAGAGGTCTTGATGGATCCATTCCGGTCTTGGTTAAACCTGTAAGTTGTTCAACTCACCATTGCTGGGCCAGGAGAAAATATAAAATCATCTTATTTACGTTGCAAGTTTGCACAACCTTTTCAGGGTTACTGGATGTTAACTGCTGAAGAAATAGATGACTTGTTTCTAGGAGATGCAGAGGTTTGTTCCTGTGATGATTTTAGATTACTACGGAGCAAAAATTTGTTTTTTCAACTTTCATGTTCATGTAAATTTGGTTCCTCGATATTTAAGGTTTGGAGAAGACCAACACATGGGAAAGCAGATCCACTTGGAGGTGACTTTCCAATGGTGACTAAAGAAGGACATCATATCCTTGATGTTATTTTTACATCTCCAATACTTGATTTAGGTACCGGGAGATGCTAATTGTAATGAAATCTCAATGTGTCTGAGCTTTTCTTTTTCTTCCATCTTTCCTCACTTGACAAAAACTCCAGTATTGTGGGACTTGATTTTTATTGTCATATTAGTTCTACAAATTATATATTTCTAAAGTTTGATTTTTGCATTATCAGAAAATAATATTCGCACTCGTTTGAGTAGAATTATGAAAATAACGTTTTATAAACTAATATTCTTTAATTTTTTTACATATAGAAGATTCTTGGCTTTGTCCTTTTCTATTAAAATAAGTATGATAGAATGTCTTATATTTATAGTTTTCTATAATTTTTTTGTTATCAATAAATTTTTAGCTTATAGAAGAAGCTTCTCAATTAATCATAGAATCATAAGCTGATTGTATTCCATGTCACATTTAAGATATTTATCTTATTAGAAAAATCTCAAAATAATTTCCAGATTATCCGTGTTTGGCCAATTTAGTCTTATAGTATCATGTTGTCCAAATTTAGTCCCTCAATTATATTATAATTGTGGCCATATACAAACAGTCGGAGGACTAATTTCAAATTTAAACCTCTTTATTTTATTCATGTCTTTCATCATTTGTTGTTGTCCTCTCTTCAATTATTCCTGTATTGCACTTTTGCTATTGCTGATATTTTGATTTACAGCTAAGGTAGGTGAGTACCTGGATCAAATTGACGGTGTAGTGGACCATGGAGTGATAGCCGGCATTCCGTTAGTCCTCTTTACTCTTTCCAATGCCTTTTTAGTAGTATTATGAATTCAGTGAGCTGTAAAAATAATAATAATAATAATAATTCAGTAAGCTGTGGAGAAATTTTTTTGAGTTGGTTATTCATCAACAGAGTTCGCTTTGCGACAAACCAATAATCTATTTTATGTTAATTGTTCAAAATGCTGAAAGTGTAAATCTGCATATAAATAACATGTTCTCCGGTGTTTAATTATCTCATGCGTAACAAAATATAACCTTACACCCTTTTTATTTTATTTCAAATGAATCAATGTCACCATTACTTCCTAGCAATGGCACTGTAGCGATTCCTCTTGTTAAGGTATGTGAGAGTTGCTTAGTTTCGCCCAAGATGATTGAAATATATATTAATGCAAAAAATGCTAAATGGTTCGTTATCCTCAAATAGGTTTAAAATTTTTGGTTCAAAATGAATTTATTCACTTCTAGAATTATTATTAATTCAATAACACTATTGTTGTCAGGTCTCAAGTCCTGAATGAGAAGAACTGAGGGTTGTGTTAGGTAGTCGACAGTCAGCATAAAACTTGTTGAATAATCATGACATGAATCCTTTAATACATTGTGTTAATGCTAGGGCATTTCCTGAAAGCAATGCGCTGTATGGCCTGAATACATCGACAAGTGTGCAAGGGTTGTTGCATTGGCCCTTGGGTGCATAATTAATTAGGCAAGAGTTCCCACATCATAAATGAATGTTGGCAAAGAAGCTAGTCCATGAAATTAAAATTAAGATAGGAACTTGGATTATAGGTTTTCTTACAGACAAATTAAGGGAATTAATAGCTATTATGATTCATAGGAATATAAATATTTTATGCATCCAGGAAACGAAATTGGCTAGAGAGAAGGTTAAGGGGATTGATAGTTAATTAGGATTTAAACTATGATATTATGGTAGGAATAATACTAGAAATGATGTATGTGTGATTATAAATAAGAATTTAGAGGATAATGTTGTAAAAATTAATATAATTGGATATTGAATTATAGTTTTAAAGATTGTTATTGATGCTAAGATTATTAATATTATAAGTGTTTATGCTCTTCAAATAGGTTTTGAAATGTATTCAAAATTAAAATTGTGAAATTACTTAGAAGAATTAATACAAAATATACCTCTTAAAGAAAGAGTTTTTATTGGAGGAGATTTAAATTGACATGTTGGAAGAGAGGCAGATGAGTTTAAAAGTATTCATGGTGGCTATGAGTTTGGAGCGACTAATGAAGATGATATGACCATATTAGATTTTTCTTTAGCTTATGATTTTGTAATTGCTAAGACCTTATTTAAGAAAATATATGAGCATCTCATCACTTATAAGATTAAATATTGTAAAGCTCAGGTTGATTATTTTCTTATCAAAAAAATAGATCGTTTAGATTTCAAAGATTATAAGGTTATTCTGAGTGAAAGTTTATGTACCCAACATCACTTATTAGTTTTAGACTTTAAGAAGAAGGGGCAAAAAGTTAAAAATTAAGTTAAACATTCTTCTAGGATTAGTTCGAGGCATTTATAAAATATTTTTGAGAGTAAGATTCTAGATCTTAAGATTTTTTCTATGTATGAGAAAGCTAATTTTATGTAGGAAAAGTAGCTAGTGATATTAAAAATATTGCAAAAATGTGTTTATAGTATTAAAGGAAAAACTCATAATAGTAAAAATAATTGGTACTTGAATCAAAATGAGTAAGAAAAGATAAAAAAAAAGATTTGTTATAATAATTGGTTTAGATGTAAAAATTTTAAAAATTGGGAAAGACAAAAAGAAACTCGTAAAGAGTCTAAGAAAGTAATATGCGTTGCAAAGATTTTAGCTTTTTAATGATTTATATAATCGATTAGATATTAATGAGGGCAAAAGATATATGTATAAGTTAGTCAACAAAAAAAATAGGAGAGGGCTTTAGTACCGGTGAAATGTATTAAGGATGAAGATTAAAAAGTGCTTTTATTATAAGAGGATATTTAACAAAGGTGAATGAGATATTTTACTAAACTTTTTAATGAAGATTTTGAGAATGTGATTAATTTTAGTGACCTTAGTACTCTAAATAAAAATAATTTTTTTGTTTTTATCGACGTATTAGTAAAATCAAAGTTAGAGAAGCTTTAAAAAATGATGTGTGAAAAAGCTGTTGAACTTGATGATATTCAATAGAGGTGTGAAAATTCTTAGGAGATGAAGGAATTTCTCGACTTACTAAACGTTTTAATATTATTTTGAAGACTAAAAAGATGTCAGATAAGTGGAGAATGAGTGTGTTGATTGTTATTTTTAAGAATAAAGGTGATGCACAAGATTGTGGGAATTATAGAAGAATTAAGTTAACGTGTCATAATTTAAAACTATGGGAGAGAGTTATGGAGCATAGGTTGCGACGTGTTACTAATGTTTCTCAAAATAAATTTGGATTCCTGCCGGGTAGGTTTACTATGGAAGCTATACATTTATTGAGAGGTTTGATGAAGAAGTCTAGAGAGAATAAAGAGGATCTACATATAATATTTATTGATTTAGAGAAAGCATATGATAAAGTTTTAAGAGAAGTGCTATGGTGAATTCTAGAAAAGAAATGGATTAGCAATGCTTATGTTCAAGTCATTAAGGATATGTATGCAAGAGTTGTTTCTTGTGTTCAAACACAAGGTGATTTGACTAAGAATTTTCCTATTTTAGTTGGATTACATCAAGGATCATCCTTAAGCCCATATTTTTTTTTTAGTCATGAATTTTCTCACAAGACATTTGTAGGAGGTTGTAACCTTGTATATTTTTTTTGCTGATGATATTCTTTTTGTTGATAAGACTAGATGGGGAGTTGAAGGTAAACTTGAATTATGGAGGTCAACTTTAGAGTCTAAAGGCTTGCGTTTGAGTAGATCGAAAATTGAATATATGGAGTGTAATTTTAGAAATAATATATCTAGTGGAGGGAATTGTGACTTTGGGCGATCAAGTCATTAATAGGAGTACAAGTTTTAAGTTGGATGGTTGAAATGGAGGAATGCATCGGGCTTTTCGTGTGATAGAAAAATCCCCCTTAAACTTAAGGAAAATTCTATAAAATGGTGGTGAGACATGCAATACTTTATGGTGCATAATGCTGACCATTAAAAGAGAAGCATGATTCAAGTTAAGTGTTGCAGAGATGAGGATGCTCAGGTGGATGAGTGACTTTAGTGTTAGAGACAGAATACGAAATGAGCATATACGTGAAAAAGTTGGAGTAGCTCCAGTGGAAGATAAGATTAGAGAGAGTTGCCTTGGATGGATTCGTCACATAAAACGGCGGCCTTCCGATGACCCATTTAGGAAAGTAGATGTGTTAGACTTGATTTATGTTAAGAAAGGTAGAGATAGACCTAAAAAGACTTGGTTAGAAAATATTAGAAACGACTTTTCTTCATTAGATTTAAATGAGAATGTAACTATTAACAGTACACGATGGAGAAAAATGATTCATGTATCCGACCCCACATAGTGGGATAAAGGCTTGATGTTCTTGTTGTTGTTGTTGTTGTTCTAAAATTATTATTAATTCCTTTAATCTCCCTATACCTGCTTTTGATTATTATGTATGGGTAATGTTATTCCTTTTTGCTTTCATGTAGTTGCACTGTAATCATTGCTGCAAAAAGTGGAGTGCTAACTGTGGATAATCTTTCATAGCGCCCCAGTTCAAAGCTGAGTCAGATGCAAAATATTCGGATTCTTATGATGAGAGTTTTCTGCAGAGCCATAAAGGTTGGGGAGTCTCAGTAAACTGTTTTCTGTATTTATACTTCCATTTCATTTGTTTCATGGAGAAGCAGATTTACTGCCTCTTTTACTGAACAATAAAACAACTAAATAAATAAATCTGATTTCTTTGCTGCATAACCTGTGTGATTTGTAGTGTAGAATTTGAGGTAATTCTTTATTTGAACTAATTGTTCTCTTTATTAAATCATCCAGCTCTCTAAAAACTTGTGCTTAACTGCTTATTAATAGGGGCTCGAATTCAATTTGTTGCATTTTTTAAGGATGGTTTAATGAAGTAAAATTATAAATATTTATAATAAGCATAGATATTAAGATTGTAGCTGTCGGTAAAGCAGGCTGTGAACTTTTTTTTTTTATCATACCTCAAAATAATTTGTTCAAATTTTAGATTCTCGATTATTGCTTTATAATAAAGCATTTTTTTTCGTAATAATACAAATATATTTTGATTGATGCTATGGAAATGCAGATGATCTCAAGAGATATTTGATAGAAACTTGACTGTTATAATAATTTAAAATTATAATATAATATGCTAAATATCAAATCATATTATTATTTTTTTTTATAAATGAGAGTAAAAATATGTTTTAAGCATTTTTTTAAAGTTTGTGATTATTGATGTTGTTGATAAAGTTTTTTTTTTTTTTTAAGATAATTATTCAGCCATTTAAAACAAAATATGGTTAAAAGTTTTAATCCCATCATCAATAATCATGTTTTTTTAAAAGAGTTTGATTATAATATAACAAAATATAGCTAGAAACAGTACTTTTAATCATAATTTTAATAAGACATGTAACCAAAATTTTATATATGTTGTTGGCCATTAAAAGATAAATATAAATGACATATATGCGCAGAGGCTAGATTAACTCAGTGTAGGGAAGTAAATGATTGACATGACCCGCCAATTTAATCTGAAAATTTCAAAAATTTTGGATTTGGGTTGACTCATTTAATGATCGGGCCAAGTTCATTGATCTCATTTTTGACTTGAAATGACCCGTTTAATATATATATTTTTTGTGCAAGTAAGAATAATCTTATTATCATTAATGTAAGTGAAAATCAACTCGCTGGAGATCGGAGCCCTCTCCAACGCCTCCGTTCGCGAGCTCTTGGAGGAACCCGGCGTGGAGTCCTGAGCCCATCCTCGACCAGCGGCTTCTCCCACCGGCAGGCCGGCGACGGCGACGGGGACGACGTCGGCGCTCTTCTCATTGCCTCAGCGTGTTCGGAGAATAAAGACCCACAAGGTTATCAAGCGTAGCTCTCACTCTTCTTCCGCCTCTCTCTCACACACAGGTGCTGAAGATCAGTGCGGTCGGCCCTCTCTCGCACAGATGTTGTTTGTTCTCCTCTGATAGTGCCTAGTACTGTAGAGGTAATACAGCGTGATCTAAAGCCTGTACGCTCCCGCCGATGCTACTTCATCAGCGGCATTTCCTCCAGCTTTCCTCTGGTTTGATTTCTTCTTCACCCTTCTTATGGTTGCTAGTCATTTGCATGACCCGGGTTTTCTAGATGGGATTTCGCCGTCTCGTTCTTTTTTGGGAGGTCCTGTCCGGGACCTCCTCTGTGTCAAGTATTTCGCCTTTGAAGGTTTCTTCCTGCCACGGTCTTCCTGTTTTATTGATTTATAATGAAGAATTGGATGCCCTAGCTGTGCCTTTTGAGTTGTCTTGGTTGGAAAATTTCCCGGCAGTCGTCCGTCACTGGAATCTATTCGTAAATTTTTCGTCAATCTTAAGCTGAATGGAGAGTTCTCTGTCACTATTCTCAACAAAATAATATTTTGATCAAGCTTATGAATGATTTGGATTACTGTCGAGTTTTCGCTCACCGTTCCTATTTTGTTAACAACTGTTACATGAAGTTGGTTAAATGGACTCCGCATTTTGACGTTTGTGTGGAATCTCCTATCATCCCGATTTGGATTTCTTTCCCTAACCTTCGCCCTCACCTGTTCTCTTCCCGTATTCTTCAAGGTTGGGGTCCATTTTTGGTCGACCCTTAAAGACTGATAACGCTACTGCCAATGGAACTAGCCCGTCATTTGCTCGTGTACTTGTTGAGCTAGATATTACTAAGCGGTATTTGGATAAAGTTTGGCTTGGTTCTGAAACTTTGGGTTATGCCCAAAATGTGGAAATGAAATTTTTCCCCTTATATTGTGGTCATTGTAAAGCTTTGGGTCATTCAAAAGATGAATATAGTGTGTTGCATCCTCATCCTACTGTTGTCCCCGCATATGTGATTGGTTCGGTTTTGGAACTTGTGGCTCATCCTGTTGCTGAGATTGATATGGTGGTTTCTGGTATTTGTGACCAATCTTTAGCACATGTGGAGTTGGGGTTGTCTGCAGCTGCTGTTTGTTCTCCTCTGATAATGCCTAGTGCTGTCGAGTTCAATAACTCGGATGTTGTTGCAGTTGTTGACATGCCGCAAAACCCCTTGGTTGTTGATGTTAATCATGTGGATGCATTAGTTGCACCAGTTGTTGTGCTTGAGTCGGTTGCACCTTCCTGCATCACCCCTTGCTTACTAGTTTCACCTGATGGAGTTTTGACTGCTGACAAGCTAGGGGATGTGTGTGTGGCTGGTGATGCTCCTTCGGTTTGTATAGATGGTGAGGGTACCTTGCCTAATGTTGTGGGTTTGGTGAAGAAGATTGATGGTAGGGGTGTGGGTTGATTTGAGGTTGATGATGGCGGTGAAACTGGTGCTGTTTTGGAGACTACAGCTGTTTTTTGTGCTATTTCTGATGGTGATGGTCCCTTATCTAAAAGTTTTGAAGAGTCATTTTTGAATGTGCCGTTAACCCTTGTTTCCAAGGATGATTTGCATACTCACATTTCGAGGGATAGTGAGGTGATGCGTGGTGACTGGTTACATGCCGATAATTCCTCAGCTGATGGTGAAGAATCTTATGAGGATGATTTGGCTTCAATACCGAATTTAATTAAAAGAAGTGACAAATCTAGAGCTCGTAATTCTAAAAAGAAGTGATGCTCTTTTTGGTCTTGATTTGGTTTTCGTGGACATTTATTCGTGCTTTTGGGACCTGTTTTGGTGTTGGCGTTGATGCTGATGTAGTATTTTTGGATGTTAGAGCTGATTTGATTTTGTTTGGTGTTGGTTTGACTTGTTTCAAGTTGTCTTTTCCTATGTTGTGTGATTGAGCCTTGTTTACCTCTGCTTTGTGTTTCTCTTTTTAGCTTCTTTTGTTTGATCTAGTCTTGGTTTCAATCTATGGCTCATATGTTTTACTTAAAAAAAAGAATAATCTTATTATTATTTATTAAATATCATAAATTTCATAATTAATTAGTTATTTTTTTAATCAGAATGGGTTAAATGATCAAGTTTGGGTCATTCAGATTGCTAGCAGTTCGGGTTGATTTTTTTACTAGTTTATTAAATGAGTAGTGATTTATTTTGATTGGATTCGGGTTGGATCTAAACCCAACCCATCCACCCGTTTTAACACCCCAATGAGATAAGGTTAGAGAGAGTTACCTTAGATGATTTGGTCATTTAAAATGTTGGTCGTTCGATGATCCGATTATACGAGTAGAAGCATTCGATCGGACCTAAAAAAACTTGGTTAGTGAGTATCTTTTTTATTAGATTTAAATGATAATTTGACATGCGATTGGGATCTTATTATTATTATTATTATTATTATTTTTTTGGATAGAAGAAAGGCAATTAGTCATGGACTGATTTTTCATGCTAAGGGAGTGAGCTCATTTTTAAGCCAAATAACGTGGGATTGATTGGTAGACTATAGACGACATTCAAATAATCAAGTGTAGCACAAATGGAATGACAGGAGTCGAGATTAAGAACATATGAAAAATAGATGGTGAAATGGTTTAGTAGAGGGCAACAACAAGGTTTTGATCAATGAGCAACCAAAGTGCAAACTAAGGATTTGAGGTGGGATGCTCGGCGTCAGAGAAAGGGAGTTTAGAGGGACAAGTTGTGCTGCCATCAAGATATCTATCAAAGCTATTTATTTGCCGCAAAATAAACTGTGATTATAAATTAAATTTGATGTAATTGTTGTTGTCTTTTCCACAAATAAACTGCGATTATAAATTAAATTTGAGAAAAAGATCAAAATGATCTCTCTCTCTCTTTAAGAGATCAAGATGATTCCTAACTATATTAAATGATTATTTTGATCTTTCAAATTCTTTAAAGTGGAATCATACTATCAGACTATTTTGATTCTTTATAAAGAGTTGAGGGGTTAAAAAAACCTTTTAATTTTGGAAGCTACTCCTTATTGTTTATCATTGTACATAAATTGACTATGTATAGATTTATTTTATATGTATGTTGATCAATATGTCAATAGATAGATAGCCAAAAAAGATTGAATTGTGAAATTGATGATGTTCAATTAATTGTTTGTATCAACCTGATAGTATCTAGGGGTGTCAAAACATGATCTGATATGTCAACTTGATACAAAAAATTCGGGTTCCGGTTGACTCTTTTAATAAGTGGGTTGGATTTTTTTGCCCATTTATTAAATGGGTCGGTTTGGGTTGACCCGCCAACCTATTTTTTACTCGAAATGACTCGTTTAAAATCTTTTTTTCTTAAATTTTTCTGTTTGGGAGTAAAATCTTCTTGTTTTTGATTAAATATTCTAAATTTATAGTTAATAAGTTATACTTTTTTTAGCTATTAATTTTTTTAACCAAAACATGTTAATTGGTCAAGTTCGAGTCATTCGTGTCAGTAGCAGGTTGAGTTAGAGTTTTTGACATGTTTATTCATTAAATTAGTCGACTTTAGGTTGAGTAGATTTGGGTAATGACAATTTTGGGTTATATCCGAATTCGACCGATCAACCCATTTTGACAGTCCAGTGACATATTGTGTTATTATTATTTTAAATGCACCATGATAAACCCAAATTAAGATGTGTTGTGTTTTTATTGTTGTTATTGCTCTATAATGGATCAAACAACAACATATCGAGTTATAACTATTATCATTATAATATGTTGTATCAACTTTATTTATTAATATGTTATAGCCGTTATGATTGTCTAAAGCTATATTAATCTTAAATTATGTTGTTCTATAGTTTAATCGAATCATATTCAAACTTTGCTTGAAAATTATTATAATGATGTTTGAATCTTGCTCGAATATTATTTAATTCATAATTAAACATTATTCAAATGATATACAAATATGATTCGACCAATATATGAACATTCTTTCAATCATATTTGATCTATTTTCAAATCATATTCTAATTTTATTTGAATAAGTTAGAATGTTATTCCAATTTTATTCGAATTGTATTCATATATTCTCTTAAATCAAAATTGTGTTTTATTCGAATAAATTAATATTTAGATTTATTTAAAAATATTTAAAATTTAATTTATATTATATTCAATTATTATTCAAAATTTATATATATATATTATTAAAACAAAAAGTCTTCGTAAATTTTATAAACTTAAAAAAATTAGAGCGATAATTTCACTGGAATAAAATTTCAACAAACATATTTTTTAGGTGTAAAAAAAAACAATAGCGGTGATGTTTGACATATAAGTAAAATTTTTTGGCATTTCCAGCGCCAACCCTAGGCGGCGGACGAGCGAGTAGAAATTCGGAGCGTGGCTCTGCTCGGAGATTTGTGCGACTGGTTTCCTTTGACATCCAAGTACCCGCTGCTCCTTAGCATCGCTCTCTTACCCTAAATCAACGTAAGGCACGGGCTCCTCTTCTTCCGTCCCGAGTCTCCCGTCACGTTTTCGCTGCCTATGTGTAGAAGAAGATAAAAGAGAAGAGTTTCTTCCCATCTACCTCCAAATCGGAAGCATGATCACTGGCGGGCAGAGCTTGGTTTCATCCGCGCCAGCTTTCTCAAATGACGGGAAGAAACTCCTGGTGTGCACGGGCAATATCGTCTCCATATTCAGCACATCCACGGGCATGCTGGTACTTCCATTCTCTCAAATTTTCTCATTTTCTGGATTTGGGTATTTAGAATCGAAAGAGTATTCAAAAACAGTAATGTGATGTTCTTAGATAACGGAATTGGAGGGCCACACAGATCGGGTCACTTCAGTCATCGTGGTTCCAGTTTCGGGCCCCGTGAGCAAGGTCATGTCGTACTGCTGGACTTCTTCTTTGGACGGGACCATTTGTTATTGGGATTTCTCAGCGGCAGAGTTGATAAAGACGATCAAGGCTCAACACCCAATCATCTCCATGGTAGTAGGAATCCTCAAATTTCCATCTTGTCTAAATTTTATTTATTTATTTTTTGGCTGGAGAGTTTTAAATACAGTAATTCTTCGGTTGATTATGACATATGACTTTTATATTTATGATTTTTTTCTGTAGTGGGTATTTCACAGTTAGTTTGATCATTTTGGATTAAGCTGTGGCTTTGGTTTTACGAAGTGCAAAATATCTAGCAGTTGTTTGGTAAAATGTAGAAAATCAGTGTATGAACTTTGAGGCTTCTTCGGCTACTGTTGGAATATTGGGTGTCATCATTCGGTTTGATGCTAAAGCAGTAATCTTGCCAACTGCAAAAAAATCTGAAGTTAGGATTCTATGAGTTGATAGGATAAAAATGGGCATGGAAATATACTTGTCTGCTTAATGGTACTGCAAAGTTGTTTAAGACCAGGCTTTTTTAAAGCACATTCTACCAGCTTCCAGTATATATCAGTGTTGGTGGAATTACCAGATTTAATTTGATTTTTTTTAGTAGATAAAAATTGGTAATGTTTATTACATTGAATTGATCATTAGTATGGCTTATTTCTCATAATTTTAATTAACATAAAGCGTGTTGTGCTATTTATATATTCAAGTTAATCCTTGGCTAGAACTATTTAATTTTTGTATAAGAGTTTGCAAGGAAGAATTAAGGAGTTAGGTGCTTTATGATACGATCTAGGATAAGGATCTAATATACAACTTTGATCGTGGGTGTAGGTAGCAAGATGAGCAATCCTTGGCAAGAAGATACAAGGAATAATGCTAGTTGTATAGGAAAGAGGGGTTGCTAGCGTGCTAGATAGAAGCAAATAAATGATACAATTTATTATGAGAGGAATAATCTTTGAAAAATGCTAGTTGCATTTGTATAATTTACATGATTATGTGATTAAAGTACATATATTTCTAATTTCTAATTATTTGCATATGTTTAATGAACTTGCAAACACATTAAATTTGAACCACCATCTAGAGAAATTGAATGGACAAATAATTCTTTAGAACATAGGCAATTTTCCCTATCTTGAAATATGAGCACAAAAGACATTACATAGCACCCTTTTGTTCAATCTTAAAGATGGAGACACTTTTGTGACTTCATAATAATTTTTTTTTATTCTGATTCACCAATAGGTCATTCTAATTTTATTCTCTAGTAGTCATTCTATGCGTTTAACCTATTTAAATGTTCATAATGCTCAATTTATCCATGTGGTAAATGAACATTGAGGTTAATTTTATTCATTTTTATTGCTGTTCATTCTTGTACTCTTTTAATGCCTATTTTCATTTTTCATAATATACTCATGCAGGTGATCCCAAGCATAGCATGCCATCTAGACGAGAGCATTGAGGAGGAATCAAAGCTCTATGCTTTTGTATCAATTGAAGATACAAGCAAACCAGCTGATAAGAAGAAAGCCTTGCTTGGACAAGTTCAATTGTATAACTTAACTGACTCTCGCCGGGTTGGAGGATTGTTGTGTGAGGTATGATCACATGACCAATTTTAACTTGTGGAAATGGCTTCAGTTCTCATCCTTCACTCTTTGATTCTTAGATTACTAGTACTATAATTTTTAGCTTTTCTTAACCTAGTTATGGTAGTCCGGAAAGGCTCTCCGAAAACTGTATATGCTATTTGGTTAAAATGATATTGGATGCATAGTGCATTTAGTCTATGTTGAAAATTTCCTGTTGGAAGCAAAAAAAATTGACATGTTTCAATTTTTTCTTAAGATTTTTCAGGAAAAAAAATATTCAAATGAATTAAACAAAGGAAATAAAAAAAAAATATTAGAGGAGAAAGTCAACCTGCCATCAATTAAAAACTATCAACCTGCCATCAATTAAAAACTAAGCCTACTAATCAAACATCATATCCATCAATACGCTTTTTCGATTCAACTTAAAACTCCTGAACAATTAATAGTTATGCCATGTCTCTGAGCTCTTGCTGGTCATATTTTGTTTCTCTGAATTGCAGGAAGCTAGTTTTGTGCCTTTGAATTATTAAGTGAAAACATTGTACAATAATGCCTCTACTAGTCAACAAGTTGATGCCAAATTTGAAAATACGTCGCAGCTTTGACATATGCATCCACTTTGTTTTGCTTGAGGTACTTGATAGGAAGAAACCTATTGTTGTTAATTAGACTCTTTAGATATTATTGGTTTAAAGCCCTCTGAAGTTGGTAGATTGGATATGCTTAAGATGTCGAATATGAGATTTTAATGGGGTCTACACTATTCCCCATGAATTAAATTCAAACATAAATGTTGAATTTGACCCCAAAAATTGATCCTAAATAACCTCCTTAATCTTCAGTGCTCTCTCGTGTGTGGTAATTAACTATGAGGTCTTACACTCATAGGAAACCTTGTTCCTAGATCTAAATAAACCTTTCTCAAAATGTTGGAGAAAATTTGGTTAAAGACTTAAAGAACACATAATCTCAGGTAAAATTGCTCTTGAGTCTTATCATTTACACATTTGGGGAGGCTTTAGGAAAGGGGTTGGCCTTTCCTGAGTGATAGCATTGCTAGCTCTTTGATTTATTGCCTGCTAAAACACAAAGCTTGTTGACTTAAGCTACATTGTTGCAATTATGGCATCCTGGCTCTTTAGACTTAGGGTTGACCCATAAAAATTGGACAATGGAATCATAAGATTTTGACAAGATATACCATCCATCCTTACATCCCATGGAAAGTGTAGTAGTACGTGTTAGTATTTGCTAATACTGTCATTGTAGAGTGAATTTTTGAAAGCTGGAAGCAGTTTCTTTCTTAATTGAGAGTGTTCTCCCGGCGGAGAGGGTAAATGAACTATAGAGTCTTGCGACTTTAAGAAGTTTTGGTCCCTTGATCTAAATAAATTTTGGCATCCTCATCGGGAACAATTTGATTATATCAAATTGTCATCCCGCGAATCATCTATATTTTCCTCATCAGGAACGCAACTAAGGATCTCTACTTCAAGAGCCTATGTTTGTCTGTCTTTTTTAAGGTGGGGTCTTGCATCTACGTTTTTTTCTCATAAACCAGCTTGATTACTAGATCATTGCTAAAGATTTGTTTGTACATGATTTTGAAATTGTTTTAAAATTCTTATTTGAAAGACATACCATTTACCTTCTCATGTCTCGTTCTATGAAGCGGTTCATCTGTTTCTTTTAATATCAAGTATAAAAATATGCTTTATTGTATCAATGCTGACACCTTGTCTTCCCCCCCCCTAATTAGACTCGAAAGTCACATCTAATACATGCGAGTAAATCAGGAGAGTTTATTGGCATTCCAAACAAGCGTAAACTACATATTTGGCAAATTCCTGACAAGCGATTTAGAAGTGATGAAGTGAAAAAGATCACATTGCATCACACAAAAAAATTGAGCACTCTTGCGTTCCATCCAACAGAGAGAGTTGTAGCGGGTGGTGATATAACTGGAAGAATACTAATATGGAGGGGATTTGGGAAGAAAAATTTCTCAAACAAACTGCCAGTTAGAGACGAGGAAGAGAGGCCTTGTGTAAGAGGTAATGATGATGCTGACTCCTGTACAACATGGCATTGGCATGCCAATGAAGTCAAGTTTCTTTTCTTCTCCTCTGATGGTGCTTATTTGTACTCAGGTATGGTAATTTCATTTTAATGATTCAAATTCGATGGTTAAGCCTCTTTGTAAGCAAGCGGCCTAGATGTTGTGAATTAAATGTTATTGGTTGGTGGCATTTAATCATTACTTGATTGATTTTGAAGATAACAAACTTTTCTAACTCATGATGAAAGAAAAAAAAAAAAAAAACTAAATGAATTTCATTGAGCGTTGGTTTCTTCTTTAAGAGGGCTATTTTTTATTAGCGTAATATTCTATACCATTAGACTTCTATTGCTTAGATTGATTTATTTCCTTAATTAGCATTAATCTCTTGTCGATGCAGTGGGTTTGTTATGATTGTGTTCTGTCATATTAATAAACTGAATCTAATTGTTCAGGCGGGAAGGAAGGAGTCATAGTAGTTTGGCAGCTTGACACGGGAAAGAAAAAGTTTAAGCCTCGTCTAGGATCTCCACTCATATATTTCATAGATTCACCAGATCCAAATCTTTCTTGTGTAAGAAATTTTTCTATATTTTTAATTACCTGATTTTGCTTTATAATTACATGCATCATATTCATTTCATGCTATTTTCAGTCATGGTTATGGGCAGATATGGTCCATTTTCTTATTTTGTGTTCAGGATCTGAATTATCCGCTTAGCATTTTGTATGGATACAGATCTGCTATAAAGGGTGGCAATCAATTTCACTTCTTATTGATTATGGTTGTTACTTTGTTTTAGGTTGATGTTGAGAGGGTAATAATTAATAGTCTTTTTTCAGGGGCACCTAGCTTCTATTGTATTGATAGATTATGAATTGGAAACTTTCTTCCAACTTACCAAACTTCTGGCAGTCTTTCTATGTTTTCTTACATTAACTTGATCCTTCAGATCTGCCCATCTGGCATCTTCAAATGTAACTGTATCAAGTTACAACGTTGCTGTTTGTTTAAATGTGATTTGTTACTCTTCCTATGAATTATGTTGTATTCTTAAGGTTAATTATCATTTATATTCCCTGTGATTACTGATAGTTTCTATTATATTGCCCTTTGTTTTCTGGCAGATTATCAATTGTTTCCTTGCGTTAATTTCTCCATCCAACTTTAAGTTAAAGCAGAGGGTAGGTTATTCATTTAACATTTAAAAAGGTAATTGCTAAAACTTATTTATATGATAAAGTAATTGCTAAAAAAAATTAATAGCGAAAGCATATGACAAAGTTCCAAGAGAAGTGCTCTAGAGAGTTCTAGAAATGAAAGAAGATAGTAATGCTTATATCCAAATCATTAAAGATATGTATACACGAGCCATTACGTTGGTTCAAACACAAGATGGTTTGACAAAGTATTTTTCTATTTCAGTTGGATTACATCAAGGATCAACTTGATGCCCATATCTTTTTTTCCTTGGTCATGGATGTTCTAACTAGACATTTGCAAAATGATGCATCCTAGTGTGTGCTTTTTGCTGATGATATTTATTGAAATTAGGAAGTTTGAGAGGGAAAAGCTTGAATTTTATTATGCAACATACTATCTATTTATAGATCTATACTAGGTGCATTGATAAAGAAACAAATAACTATAAATAATTAAAGAGTAATGAGTAATACAATCCTTCCTAAATCAGCTGCCTAGCTATGGAAGGAATTTAATGTGATCCAGGCAGTCTTCCCACGGATTACTGTTCATAGCCGTTGGATCATCTTTGAAACGAGAGGCCGAGATTTAACACTCCCTTTCAAGCTGAGGAATATAGATTTGTCATTCCCATCTTGACGATCATTCTGATAAAGGTAGAGCTGTCTAATCCTTTGGTAAGGATGTCTGCAAGTTGATCATGTATCGTCGAAAGATCAACTTGCAGACATCCTTACCAAAGGATTGGACAAATCTTCTGGACATCTGGTTTCTATGCATTTGTAGTGATCAAGTTCTTGCCAAAGGTTTTGTAGAAGGGTGGCATACTCCGTCACGGTCTTGCTTCCTTGTTTTGTGCTCCCTACTTTGTTTTTGATTTCAAAGATTTGAGCAGCATCTCGAGCTTTTGAGAAAATTTGTCTGGCGGCATCCCATATCTCCTTTGTAGTGGAGAGGAACATCAATGCATCGCTAATTTTTGGAGTCATGGAATTTCACAACCATGACATAATCATTGAGGTTGCTTCATCCCATGCCCAAAAAATTAGGATCTCCTTCTTTTGGTCCTCCTCCGAGGTGGTGTATTTTTCCTTTCCCCTTTAAGTAGGTCTTCACAAATTGAGACCACTTTAGGTAGTTCTTTCCATTCAGACAATATGAAGGTATCATGCTTTGGAGGTCACCCCGTCCTTGGTGCATCATAAACTCCTCCATTTGGTCAATGCTTTGGGAGGAATTGATTTCTGATCTGATGATAGTAATGAAGATTATATGTATGATTTTTGGGTAGCAATGAAGTCTTCCTTTTTTTTTTGGATCGATAATAAAGGTCGTTGAAAAGAGAGAAAAATTTCTCGGTTTACTTATAGGATGAATCGAACCGAGCCAAGTACTCGAATTGGATAGCTGGGGCACGCACGGAGGTTTAACTCATAAGAGCTGGGTGGGTGAAATCCCATGGTTAGTTCTTCCAGGCGGGAGCGAGCGTCCCGCATGCGAGTATTTCGGACGACAGGTCTTCTGTACGTATGTTGGCGGCGTCTATTTACGACAAAAAAGCGACTGTCAGCGGCGTCTGGTAAAGCATCGCTCCAGCTTCTGTTGGCACAATGTTGTCTTCGGTGCTTCGTTTGCGGCGTCCGTTTTTGGCAAAAGGCTCCGTCTGATATTTGTCGGCAAAGCTTTCTCTTTAAAATCCGTTTGCGGCGCCCATCTTCTAGGCTTTGGGCTCTGTCGGCTGCTCTGTCTGGGAGGTCTTTATCCCGCTTTACTTCCTTTGTATCTCTGATACCAAGTTGAAATCAGGAAGTTTGAGAGGGAAAAGTTTGAATTTTATCATGCAACATACTCCCTATTTATAGATCTATACAATGTGCATTTATAAATAAATAAATAACTCTAAATAATTATAGAATAGTTAGTAATACAATCCTTCCTAAATCAACTGCCTAGTTATGGAAGGAATTTAATGTGATCCAGGCGGTCTTTCCATGAATTACTGTTCATAGCTGTGGGATCATCTTTGAAACGAGAGGTTGAGATTTAATAATATTTTTCTTGTTGATAAGATTAGTGAGGGAGTTGAAGGAATACTTGAATTATGTATATCAACCTTTGTTGACCTCTACACATCAAAACACACAAAAATAAGTGAAAAACGACGATTTAAGCAACGCTCGTGTCAAACGACATTAGATCGCAAAATAGATTGCCCCATTGCGATCATAACATTAGAGTGCTGTGCACACCCAAAGATGATCATTTGCACAGCTGATCAACACCAAATATTTCAAAATGCCACACATGCACTACAACATGTATACATACAAATATGAAAATATACATGTAAGTATATGTAAGAATATATACTCGCATGGGCCCTGATGAGCATGTTATGAGTATACACGTGATGTTTGAGGATGCTTCGCGGCTCAAAATGATAAATTTAAGTTTGAGCCCAATCATTCTATGTGAGTAGATAGAAGTCGACACGAATCGAACTATTAAAAAAAATATGGTTACGATGTTGACCGAGTTATTTGTTTTATACGTTCATATTTAGACCTTTAAAGCCTATTACAAAGCAATTTCATTAACAAAGGCACAAGACCTACTAAGAACCTGATCCTTCATCATCAATTATATACAGCCAACAACGTTCAACAAATAATTACAAAAATGCCCCTAAGTACATGCATGGGCCCCGACGAGCGTAATGTATGTGCATACATGACGTTTGAAGATGTTGCGCGAGTCAAGAAGTGAACGTAAGTTCAAGCTTGATCCGTCTATGTGGATAGATAGGAGTGAACGCGGCTTGAACTGTCGAACAAATATACAATCGCGGTGTCGACCGAAATATTAGTTTTATACATTTATATTAGTCCTTTAAGGCCTATAACCAGGAAAATTCACTAATAAAGTATAGAACCGATAATGAACCTGAGCCTTTGTTGACAAGTAGACAGGGTCGACAAGGTTCAACCAATAAAATGAAAATTGCACATAAATATCTCAATAATGGTCGTGTTGATAGAAAATATCAACCGGACCCCAAACATTCAAGAAAATGCCTCCCAAATGCTTATGAAAACCTAAAATATCAAAAATCACAAAAATATGGAATATTTAAAATTGAAATAAATCATCAACCATTTAAAGTGAAAACCATCCTCATGCAATAATTTGTTGGTGTGGACAAATCTGAAAATCACTTCAGCTCACAAAGAACAGATGTCTCGTTGAGATATAACTAGGATTTATTCTTAATATGTTTCTTGCCATTAAGGACATGACATTGGTCTTCTAATTGGTGGTTTGGCCAGATGGTTCCACAAAGGACCCGTGGCTTGGCCAAATGGTTTCGCATGGTTAATGATTATGACCGCGACCTCCGAGCTAGTGGCTTGGTCCAATGACTCCATTGCATTACAATTACGGTCATAGCCCACATGCTCATTAATGACATCAAATCCTTGAGATATGAATCAATAAGATATAATCGATAGGGCACAAAGCCCTTTGTTAGCTAAGGTGGATTCATATTTGTCCCCTTAGAAAAATATTCACCATAGGTCTACAAGTTACTAATGGACGAAGCAACTCATGGCTGTCGACAAGTATCATTTTGTTAGGTTAGGTCGACTACGTCCTATGACTAAGTAGACTAGGGACCATTATGACCCAGGACGACGGAACCATGAGATCTTGATCGGGCTCATCATCAGTTCCCCACCATTTGCTTTAAGATCAAGACGGTGAATTTTCAATTTTAAAAATCAAAATTTTCAATTCCAAATCATGATGCTAATACACCAGATACTACGCATCTCTACGTATCTATTGGACTACTAGCCTTAATTGAAAGTTCTCTCTAGTTATCGAGAGGGACAATTAACTATAGGTGCTTGCGCAGTGATGCAACCTAAGTTTCTAAATATTTTATAGAGAACACTTAGGAAAGAAATTAGAGAACTTCCTTTCAATAAAGCATAAACATCCACATATAAAACTAAAACTAGGAACAATCTCTAGAAAGCGGCTTACAAAATTCGTAAACATAAAGAATTGATAACAAGGCTACCCTCAGAATAACTAACAAGCGGTCACCTCACATGCAATGCTCGAAATATAAAAGATAGATGCTCAAAGGATTGATCTAACCCGGAATCCACCACTGGAACGATTCGACAAATACCAATCAAAATGTGGCAGCAGATACAACCAAGCTCACAAGAGAAGAAGGATATAGATGGGGCGGGAACCATAGATAGAGAAGAAGAGGTAGAAGACTGAGATGAAATAATAGAGGGGAAGGGGAAATGAGGCTAGCTCGCAAGCTAAAAAACCCACAGGTTTGCATGCAAATT